TGGTGTAAATCCGGGAGGCGGAGCTTGCAGTGAGCTGAGATCCGGCCACTGCACTCCAGCCTGGGCGACAGAGGGAGACTCCTTCTCAAAAATAAAAATAAAAAAAGAGAGAAAGAAAAAAAGAAAAGAAAGGAAAAGAAAGGGGAAAAAAAAAATCAACTATAGCTTTACAAGAGATACTTTTTTTGAGACAGGGTCTCACTTTGTTGTCCAGGCTACTAAAATACAGGGTCCAGGACAGCAGTGCGATCATAGCTCACTACAGCCTTGACATCCTGGACTCAAGCCTCCATAGCTCACTGCAGCCTCGACCTCCCGGGCTCAGGCAATCCTCCTGCCTCAACCTCTGAAGTAGTTAGCTGGGACTACAGGTGTACACCACTATGTCTGGCCTTTGTTTTTTTTTTGCAGGGGGTGGGGCGCGTAAAGAGGGGTCTTGTTTTAATGCCCAGGCTGGTCTCAAAATCTTGGCCTCAAGTGATCTTTTCATCTCACCCTCCCAAAGTGCTGGGATTACAGGCATGAGCTATCTCACACCCGGACTCAAGAAATACATTTAAAGCAAAGCAGTATAGAAAGGTTAAAAATAAAGAGTTGAAAAAATGCACATGGAAAATACTAGCCAAAGCTACTTTCAATATGTTAACATGAGAGAAAATAGAATTTGAGGCCCTTCATTCTCAAAGACAATGATTAAAAAAAAAAAAAGTATATATATTTATTTTTGAGATGGAGTTTCGCTCTTGTTGCCCCAACTGGAGTGCAGTGGCGCGATCTCGGCTCATCGCAATCACCGCCTCCCAGGTTCAAGCGATTCTCCTGCCTCAGCCTCCCAAGTAGCTGGGATTACAAGCATGTGCCACCACGCCCGGCTAATTTTGAATTTTTAGTAGAGTCAGGGTTTCTCCATGTTGGTCAGGCTGGTCTGAAACTCCCGACCTCAGGTGATCCACCCGCCTCGGACTCCCAAAGTGCTGGGATTACAGGCGTGAACCACTGCACCCAGCCTTTTTAAAATTTTTAAACAGTTTAAGGCAGTCACAAAAAAGAATGAAATTATGTCCTTTGCAGCAACATGGATGCAGCTGGAGTCCCTTATCCTAAGAAAATTAATGCAGGAACAGAAAACCAAATACCCTATGTTCTCACTTTTAAGTGGGAGCTCAACACTGGGTACTCATGGACATAAAGAGGACAGCAATAGACACTACGGACTACTAGAGTGGGGAGGGAAAGGGCAAGGGCTGAAAATCTAACTAGTGGGTACTATGCTCACTGCCTGGATGACAGGTTCAATGATACCCTAAACCTCAGCATCAGGGAATAGACCCAGGTAACAAACCCGCACACACACCCCCTGAATCTAAAATAAGAGTCAGCTGGGTACAGTGGTTCACACCTGTAATCCCCTAACTTTGGGAGGCCCAGGAGGGAGGATCGCTTGACCCCAGGAGTTGCCTGAGCAACAAAGCAAGACCCCATGTTTACAAGAAATTTAAAAATTAGCAGGGTATGGTGGCACACACCTGTGGTCCTAGCTATCCTGGAGGCTGAGGTAGGAGGATTGAGCCTGGGAGGTCAAGGCTACAGTGAGCTATGACAGCACTAGTGCACTCCAACCTGGGTGACAGAGTGAGACCCCATCACAAACATAACTAAATAAAAGTTGAAATTATTAAAAAAACAAAAACAAAAAACTTCAGTTTAGACAACTACAACAAAAAAATGTAAGGTCCAAAGCCATATAAGGCTAAAGAAATACTTCAAGTAATAAGACTAATGCATGGACAAAAATCAGTCATATGCTAGAATGCAATGAAAAGACAGCCTCGCTGGACGGATCACAAGGTCAGGAGATCGAGACCATCCTGGTCAACGTGGTGAAACCCCGTCTCTACTAAAAATACAAAAATTAGCTGGGCGTGGTGGCAGGCGCCTGTAGTCTGAGCTACTTGGGAGGCTGAGGCAGGA